CCAGGGTGGGGGGGGGGGGGGGTGGGGCAGATGCAGGTAGTGTTACCTGCACATTTTTCAAGCACTCAAGCACTCTTCAAGGAACTTTACTGCCGTTCCCCCACACTGCAGTCTCCTTGCAATGACGTGAACATCTTGGCAGGCAGCGGCGGGAGAGAGCTCAGAGCTGGGAGAGACAGGGGCAACTAATCAAAAGTCAACTAATTAATCGACTTAGTCAATTAGTTGTTGCAGCCCCAGTCACATCAGCTTACACTCTAATATCCCCCCACAGTCACATCAGTCTCTGTACAGAGGAGCTTACACTCTAATGTCCCCCCAGTCACAGCAGTAGCGGTAGCCTGTATGCATTTTCGTTTGTGGACGAATGTTCATTTCCGTTTCATGTTCGTATCGTTCATTTCATTTTTTTTTTAAATGTCACTTTGCTGCAATGACAATTCGTACAGACTACCACTAACTAATTTCGTCCGAAAAAACTAATTTTTACGAAACAAAATCACACATGTCTACTGGACGCAGGGCTTAGGGTTAGTTCACACCATAAGCAGTGCGTTCCGGTCCGATTTTGGCCGGAACGCACTGCCTGCATTGCGGAACGTGGCCAGAACGCACTGCATATGGTGTGAACGAGCCCTAAATGTCACTTTAATTAAACAGAAACACCGGGCAGCAATAAAAATTACCCCCCTTCCCCTCAGCAATAATAAATTATCCTTGGGGTAGATTAACCACTTGAAGACCAGGTGTTTAGACCCCCTTTCTGGCCAGGCCATTTTTCAGTGTTCAGCGCTGCGGTACTTTGACTAACGTTTATTCCGTCATGCAACGCTGTACTGAAATGAATTTTATACCATTTTTTGGGGACAGATAGAGCTTTCTTTTGGTGATATTTAATCACCACTGGGGTTTTTATTTTTTACTATAATTAGGAAAAATTACAGAAAATTTTGAAAAAAAAAAGTTTTTTTTAACATTATGTTAGGAAACATTTATTATTAACCAGTTTTTTTGTAAAATATAAAATATCGGGTCAGGTCGGGTAAATAGACACCAAACATGTCAAGCTTTAAAATTCCGCGCACCCGCGAAATCGCAGAAAACTACCATACCCAAAATTGGCCATAGGCGACACTTTAAAAGCTTTTACGGCTCATCAGTTTAGTGTTATCAGTGATTGATGGCCCTAGACTTATTGCTCTTACTCGGACGTTCGCGGCGATATGTAACATGTGCGGCGTAATGGGCGCAATCGTCTTTTTTGCACGTATGCGCCCCCGACGCATGTTTGCATGCGTGTATGTATGGGTGGGGACTTTAAACAAATTTTTTGTTTTTTTATTCTTATTTATGTGTAACTTTAAATTTGGGGGGGGGGGAACTGAAATTTTTTTTTCCTTTTTTTTTTTTCAACTAAACTTTATTGCTATCACATACAAGGTCCTCTTTATGGAGACATCAGGGGTCTCCAAGACCCCTAATGTCACCTAGGACCCCCCAAAAGAAGCTGATGAAGCACAGATCTGCTCCATCAGCTTCTTTCCAGCTTCTGAAGCTGGAGATTGACACAAGAATGCGGAAGTGATGTATTATACAACACTTCCGCATTCTTGCAGAGGAGAGGGGGCCGGAGGGAGCTCGTGTACCGAGCTCCCTCTGATTCCCTGTGACACAGCCGACATGCTGATCCCGGGCTCGCACCGGGCACAGCGGAGCCTGGGATCAGCGGGACAACGGCATGGGGGGGCCGCGGAGGGGGGGTGCACCGATCGGCACCCCATACATGTGATCCACCGGCTCTAAAGCCGGCGGATCGCTTGTATGGTATCAGGCATCGCTGCCTATTTTTAAAAAACGGCGCGCGCGAGGGGGCGTGTCTGAGCGGACGTCTAAAGACGCCCGCTCAGATCTAGAGAGCTCCGGACCGGCTGTTTTTCTTAACAGTTAATACTGCAGCCTGGGCAGAAATTCCAATAATTATTAAAACATTTCAGTATCTGCATTTTACTAGCCGATTTACTAGCTCTGAGGTACAAATTCTCCATTCTTTGTTCTAATTGACCAGAAACCTGACCTGGTCCTCTTACCTGCATAGTTGTCAGGTGACATATACGTGTAAAAAGCAGTGCAGGTTTATTTTGCTGTTTTAGTTTACGTGGAATGCTGAAGGATCTGCTATTCTAGAGAAGTGGTCTTTATACACCAAAAAATTACATCTCTATTCCTCGCATTGCCTACTATGACATTTTTCCAGAAAATGGCTTACTATGGCTTTTTCCAGAAAAGCAGCAATGGTTTACTTTTTCTTGTCTGTGGAACTTTGTGGGTAATAGATTGTTCTCTTACCATGACCTCTGGATTTCAAAGGCACCCCACTGGTCCCACTCTGTATTTGGTCATTACAGCTGAAGAATGGGGTGGCTGAAGTCCTGCAGAGCAGCTGATAACACAGCAGAGTTGAAGGGGTTAAGACAGCCTCTGCTACCTCTGAGGGAGGGGGTGGACAGGGAACCAGCTCCCTGTTGATGGGACTGGGGGGAAGGGGGTCCTCTGAGAGCTGCCAGTAGAATTGCCTGCCACTTCGTTCCTCGCCACTCCATTTAGGAGGGGGAAAAAACAAACCGAACAAAACTTTAACCCTGCTGCTTGTATCAATGCAGTGAAGAAAATCACCTGGCCTGCTGAATGTCCTGGGCGTTGGGTGAAACAAATTGCACAGCTCTGAGTCCCCCATGCTGACTTGATGGGGCCCCCTACTGAACGCCCCTGAACAAGACTTTCCTCTTAACTGCTTCAGCTCCCAAGCTTCTTGGATGCACGCTGAGGTGGATTGATATGCTCAGCAGCACAGAAACGA